CTTTCATAAAATGCAACGAATACGACTTATCTGCTTTTTCTATGTCACTGTATTTCCGACTGAAACAATAATCTGATCAGTGACTGCTACTCCTCCAAAAGAACAGTTTTAACCTCCGGTTTTCAGAGAGGTACGTGTTGTGTAATTTTTATCATGAAATGTTTTGGTCATTTGTCTCCTTTCTCTCGGTCATTTTTGTTGATGTCCTCGACTTAAAATTCGTCTTAACCCCTTTGTAAACAGGTCTAGGGATATTTAGATTTAAAAAGAAATGAAGGTTTTATATATTGCGACATAGTTTCAAGAGAAGTACTCGTCGAAGACAATTAAATCGCAAGGTTTAATTGAGTAGATGAAAAAAGATGCAGAAGACAACAAATGGACATTTAAAACTTCAGTCGAAGAAAATTCGATAATACCATGGCAAAAAACGAAAAAATACAAAAAGAAACCATAAGTCTTCTCAACACTGGATAGAAAACTAATTCAAAAGACGAGCCAGACCATAACCGCCTGTGATCTCTGTGTTCTACATGTAGTACCCGTCGTATTGCTCATGGTAAGCGCAATTCGGTGAAAAAACTCATTTACTGATATCACAATCGAGGACGATGACGGGATTGTGTCTAAGGCAGTACGACACATATTCCATAACGGTCAACCAAATTATGATAACGTCCGTAAAACATAGTCATTGTAAATCCAATTTTCTGTGTGTTCGTAAGAATAATATGATACCCGAAAAGTCCAAAAGCATCTACATGAAACATACGTTATACGTGAGTACTAAAACAATATGTTAAATGATTTGAAATGTAATTATCTTTTCTCTGTTTGTATTTTATAGAATATGTTGTATGTTTTTTATTATTCTAAACATGATTTTTAATGTTGAATCAAGGAAACCAACAGTGTGGTCCGCCTTAATTTTATGAACGTTGAATGTTAACAACAAACCATTGGCAATTTTACAAAAAACTGATTACCTCGACTACGGTTTGATAAATCTCTTTTTTTATGACCTTTTGCTAAAAGGATACGGTCAAGGTGAACTTCGTCACTTTTCATTGTACATATGAAAAACAAAGGAATTCGAGACTCATCTTTAATGATTAATTATTGCTACATGATATTCTTTGAGTGTGGTAGTTTTATCTTGTATGAGAGCTCCATTCTGTTTAGATCTGTATTTATACCGATTGTGTCATATTCCTGATTGAACAATTTGACTTGAGTGTGAATCCGCATGGCGGGTGATACATGCATAGCAGGAGACGTTTACCCTGTCAACCCACCCGTTCTCGCTCCTTTTTGAGTTCATGCGATTTCCTCATTTTTTGTTTGTTACCTTGACTTGTCTCTCCCTAATCGATTTACGAGATTTGAACATAGGTAAACTACTGTCGACTTAATCAACTTAATTAGCTTTACTACTTTACTGGCATCTTGCATATATATTTTTTTTACATTTTCCAATGCATGTACATTTAACCTTTATAAAATATACATTTAAGATAAAATAACTGGTACATCTACTTAAATAAAACATTTGGGAAGCTAGGAAAATATTTGTATAAAAAAAAAATTATCTTAAGGGTAAAGGAAGTTCTACAACAACTGAATTTTTCAGTTATAAGTTTAGTAATGGTAAACTTTAGTTTACCCCTTTTTGCATACATGTTTCTACATATTTCCCGTAACAACAGTCGCCCTATCCTATATTTGGTCGACACAAACAATTCGTGTCGTGAGGATAAGCAGAAAGTAAATTTTTTTTGACGTTGACTACGTCATCATATTACCTTTAATGTACTTTAACACCAATCAGAAGTGTTAACTGTTTTTCAATTAAGTTTAACCAAGCATTAATTATAACATGAAAGCAAAAATACAGGGATTGGATAATAATATTTGTTAGAAGGTTATGGTGACTGTTATGACATCGATTACACAATTACCTCTCTGTGTAGTCATAATTTTTCAACTAATTATCTTGTGGCATTCATACTTGTGATTGTAATTGAAATGCATTTATCAGTACAATGCATTTAGTTAATTATCGTCTCTGCTTATTGAGAGATGGAATTCAAAGTGTAATAAAAATGGAACAAAATTACGTGTTTTTTTTTTTAAATTAGCACTTATACATTGCATTCCATATAAAAAAGAGTATTTGCTGAAGTCGTTATCTTTACAGTTACAACATAACAATCGTACCATAATTACTGTTTTAAAACTAACCAAATTGATTGTCTCTTTTCAAGCAGTTTCCTTATCATGAGCAAATAAAAAACGGTCGATTTTTGTTAATGATGAGCCTGAAATAAGAGACACACATTATTTCACCTGCTTAGATATGTGGAAACGATAAGAGGGGTTCTGCATAAAACAGACTATGGCTTTCCTTTTACGACGAAGATCATTAAAGACTGACAACTATTTTTAAAAGGCTAAACAAGACAGTTCATGATGCGCGTTATAAAAGCTATTAATAATCCTTGATACATAAATAGTATCTCTAAAATATCAGGACACTATAATTAATATGCCTGAAAAACAGCTACATTCATTTATACGGTATTAATTTAATACTATTAAAATAAGCAAAAAAAACCGTTCTATTTCAAATTAATCGGAGCGAGAAACTTCGATACACTTTTGATGATCTGCAGTGACAATGATAAAATCTTGCATACATGTTCATATTATTACATAAAACTATGATGGCATGAATCAGGTATCATATATTTAATTATATAAAACTACAAGCATTTTCATACATGTGCAACCCAGAAATACATACATATCCACCTTGTAAGTGTTGGAACACGGAGTAAATCTCATTTACTTGTACAACTTTTAAGTGATACAGATCTAGCGTGAGCTTTATATGCATGTACATGTACACTTTTTTAATGACGGGCTTACAAAGTCAGGAATATGACAGTTGTTTTCCATTCGTTTGATTTGTTTGAGCTTTTGATTTTGCCATTTGATAAAGGACTGTCCGTTTTGAATTTTCCTTGGAGTTTGGTATTTTTTGTTATATCACTTTTTATGTTACAGATCGAGTCATGTATACATGTAAACTATGCACAATGGTAATCTATAGTGATAGAGGATATTCAACATTCATTGGCATGTAATGTTAAGTTCAATGTACTCCGCGTTGTCTTAATGCTTGCATTATTTCTGTATTGGACAGTGAGATTGTTTGCCAAATTATAGCCGTATTTACTAAATTTGATTAACCCGTTGTAGAAACTGCTAAGTAACTACATGCTTCAGTGCACAGATGAAGGGTGTTGCAGTGGTACTGTACATGTACACATTGTGACCACACAGACAGTTGTCTCAAAACAGTCTGTTTAGACGTAGTGTAACTTTTTATGCGTTTTCAGTTCACAATTTTTTAATTCTATACTAAAACTATTTATAGATACCATTGAACTAGTTTAAATCATCTGACACATTACTTTTCTTTTTTATCAAAATGCAAGACTTATTTTCAGAATACGATCCATTTTTATTTTGTAAAACCTATTTAAAATGTACCTGCAGAGGTTGATAAGTTTAGATATTTTCAATCGAATTAAAAACCGATCTCGCACCGCTTCCGTTTTCTGATATGTCCCTTCATATCAGAAAACGGGAACGATGCGAGATCGGTTTTTAATTAGACTGAGATATTGAGTGTTGGGAATAATACGCCAACGAACAAAAAAGATATGCTAAACATTGAATGAAAAAGCTGATCTAATAGAAGGTGTGTCCAAACATCGTTTTGCAAAGTGCAATATAATGGTGTGACACAGAATTCAGTGCGAACTACCCGTGGTGTTTATGGAAATGCCGTCATCAGGTACGTCATGGAACCAAAGTTTGGTAATTCAAATACACAAATGTTTAAGAACACTAAAACTTAAACGACCTAAACAAGTTAGCCAGAATAGTAAAAGGTCCACTCTGCCTATAAAAAATAATTGCAAAAACAATAATTTATTCATTAGCTGGCCTTTTATCTGTTTATATCTGTTTATATCGCGTATTTGGTGAATATTTGTTATCAATCAACGAAAATAAAGTGAAGGCTTAAATAGCATTAGACGGAATTAGTTTCATCGCATTTCGACACATGAAGTGTCTTAAATGAAGCTCAAGGCCAAAACAGTTGGGAATCAGAAACTTAAAACAAACATTAAATACCAAGAAAAAAACAAAAAGACCGAAAAGTAAAGCCGAGTATGACTATGTTAACAGACCTTACATTGTATCATTAGAGTGATGGTTTTTCATCCATAAACAAATTTCATATAATTTTCACGCATTTTTCTCAGACAATATCCCGAGGCTATCTGTCAGGAATTGCAAATGAGAAATCAAAACTCACGTTCAGGTAAATAAAATGAAACAAGATTTATATAAAAATGCCGCAGTATTGACAGTAAGTGGAAACACACTCACTGCCCTGTTTGTAATAAAAAAAATAGGCCTGTACATTGTTCAAATATATTTCTAAGTTTGATCCTACTTATACTTAATACGGTAGGCAATTTGCTGATACAAACGAAATGGTTTAATTTAATGAAATACATAGAACAATTATGATAATGTTAGCAAAATGCAAACACATGGTATCATTTTCAGTTCGACTACGATCATATAAACGTAACAAATAAATTACAGTTTCTACAAATAAACTGAACCTTATCTGTAAAGGCGATCTAAAATCATAAAAAAAAAATGCTTGATAAAAAATCAATACACAAAGTATAAGGAGATACTGATAAGCCATGTTTTATTACAATTTGTAAAATTATGCACGCATGATGTCATGTATTACAACTCTACACAAGAAAATATCGATATTTGAAAAGAAGATCAAATGTTATCACAAATAGCAAAATAAAGAATCTTTCACTCAATATAAAAATTATTTGATATCAGAAATCCATTGCTTGATATTTACAAATCAATATGATCAACAATATGTCACTTACCAAGTCCATCTTGTCACATCGAGGTTTCATCTGTTAATTTCCCGCCATTATTCCACAAACCTGCAGACAAAAACAAGATGTCGTCTTTATCACATGTTGAAATCATGACAAAGTTTAAGATGCATTTGTCCAGTTTAAGTCTTGATATTCATTAACAATAATTAAATGGATTTAAACGTTTGAAAGAGCTTCATTTCACCGCGACATTGTAGTTATTCTCAGCTTCTACAAAAATCGATTGGCAAAGCACCTGCAGCGTAGCAAAAGAACTAATGTCGGTTAGATAGCACTGTACACACAAGACAATCTTTCCTTATCAAGTTATAAAATCATTTTACATTTTTTTTTCTAATATCTCAAAAAAATGGGATTTGCTCCAGACAATTCCTCGGAACCATTTTAACAATTTTCTTATAGTTTATGCATTTTTTGTTGACTGCGTGATGATAATGAATTGTAAACTCTGCAGTCAGTATCATCAAAAGTCGCTTAAAATATTTCACCTTTATGTTTTTCATTTAAATAATTAGCATATGATGTAGCTATTCTCTTGCATATCGTCTCCTTCGTACTTTATCACATTAAATGTAAATCAACGAGAAACTGCAGTTCTACTCGAGTGTTTTGAAACCTGAGCAAAAAGTTCAAACGTATCAATTTTCAATAATAACCAGAAAATATATCGATGAAATGTGTAATAGAACAAATATTTATGAAGGTTATATGAAACGCCATGTTCTGACAAATATAAATAATATTACTTGTCTGATCTGCTCGGAGGTCCTATTTAAGCAACTATTTTGTTAATTAATAATACATAGCATATTTCACTGGGGATATTCAGTGCAGAATTTGTTTGTTGCGTCGAGATTTTATAATTAAGCAACTTATTATCAGAATTGTTATTGTATGTTTATATTACTTCTGGGAATCTACATTTGATCGTTTTCATCTTAAATATTTTATTATCATTTTTTGCAATATTTATGCACAATTACTTTAATTTGGTTGATGTTTTGCGGATTATCCTAATCATGAATATTTAAATTACAATTACCGATATTTTCAATTTACTGTAGTTTTAAGCTCACAATACAACTAGGCTATATAAGTATTACACTGTAAAAATGTGTGCGAATAATACACCTTAACTTTTCATGAAACACATATAATGCATTGCAACATTGTTTGAATCAATCGTTTTGCATTTTGCATTTTTGTATACACATCCTACAAAATATCTAATTGATGCTGAATATTCATGGCACGAATAGTGGAAATAAAAACTTAATGTTGACATATCTATACAAACGGGGAGAGATATGAATTTGTAAGCTTTACTACAAGTTTGTAACGTTTAGATATGCTAGCGCATAAAAACTAATATTTACATATTGACCAAGACAGCTAAGAATGTGAAAAGGTGGCGAAATTTTTATTGTCAATTTTTTTTCAATATAGAAATTACACATTCAAATAAACTCCTCATAGATACCAGAATTAAAATTTTGTACGCGCGTTTCTTCTATAAAAGACACATCAACGACGCACCACATAAAGTACGAAGTTGAAGAGCATTAAGGACCATGTATGTGTAAGTTCCAAATATTTCAGGAGGCCATTTTAATTATTTATTTTTTTTAACAAAAGTAGAACAATAATTGAAATATCATTCAGGGTTTTGTATGTCTGACGGAAATTTCGCCTTTTAAGTTGACATTTAAGGCATGTATATATACGTTCTGAAACCTGCTGACTGCCATTGGCGTTTGCCAAATAAACGGATCACAAGATGTTACAAAATGGATCTTTTAAAATTATTAATTTAATACCAATCAGAAAACAATAAACTTGCGGAAAAGATGGTATACCGCAAACAAAAGGTGCAAAAATTAGTACACCATATCCGGATTTCGACAATTAATGTCTCTTCAGTGATGTTAGGAATCGAAACGGTATTTGGAAAGTCATACAATTTACCTCAATTTAGGATAGACTCTTGAATTTTGAGGAGTCAAAATAGGATGAACGGATCACATAAACCCGAAGGAAAATATAATACAAGCCCAAACGAAAAAATATAAACAAGTTTTAATTGAAAACAACGTTCAAACCTGTGATTGCGTTGGATAAAAACCGCATTTTTTATACGTGTGCATGCAAAACAAATTTCTTGGTAGATGGGTCTAAATACAGCACAAACAATATTTTCCAAAAGACCAAAAAGTGAAAAAGTATATTTTAACAAAACGCATTTGACTAACAGGTCAAACAACTGATGTTCTTAAACCCTGCTGACTGCCATATATATATATATATATATATATATATATATATTATATATATATATATATATACACACAAAAGTCTAAATTGAAAACAACGTTCAAACCTATGATTGTGTTGGATAAAAACCGCAATTTTTATACGTGTGCGTGCAAAACAAATTTCTTGGTAGAGGGGTCTAAATACAGCACAAACAACATTTTCCAAAAGACCAACAAAGTGAAAAGGTATATTTTAACAAAACGCATTTGACTAGCAGGTCGAACAACGGATGGTCTTAAACCCTGCTGACTGCCATTGGCGATATATATATATGCGCAGACACGTTATACAAGAACCTTCATATAAATAGGTAATAAGAAGAATATTTCAAAATTCTTAAATTACATGTACACGTTAAGGTGGGTCTTAATGTGAACATATATTTGTTCCGCATAATACTTGTTTCCCCCGGAACGAAAATATGGAAAATAAAAGTTCTTGGGAACGAACATTACATAATTTTATTTCCACCCTTATTAGATATTTTCCTGGAACTAAAATATATGGTTTCATAATATTTGTTCCTTTAAAGAAAGAGTGTATTGTAATTTTTTTACACCTGATTGCATCTTAATTACTGCTCACCTCACCTGTGTATGGCATTTACCTGTACAAATATTCCTGGAACTTTTATAATATAACAAATTTCCACAAGATCAAGTAATGGACGACCAAAACAAAGAGCGCCCTAACAGTATTGGTGAATATTTCCCTCTCATAAAAAGCTGTAAATGAACAGTCATTGCATTCAAGATTTTGTTCTAAACAGTGTGTTGTATATACATGTACAATGCATATGTTTAAAAATGCTTTTGCCTCATTTGTTGTTACTTATTTGCTAACGTGATACAAGGACGTATAACTAACATATAACTAATATACGTCCTTGCGTGATAGAAATCAGTGTATTTGTTATAGGAAACTTAAAACAAAAGTTCCAATTCGAAGTTTCATACTGGTGGAAAATGTCACAACACTTTTAGCATATAACAAAAGTTCCAATGGAACTTTTGTCATGTAATATTTTATCCTTTGTGAAGAAAATTTTCTTATATCACTGGATAAAATATTACATAAGGAAAGTTCCCAATGGAACTTTTGTTATATGATAAAAGTTCTTTGGAACAAATATTATGGGGGAACTTATATTCTGTCACATTAATTCTTTATGTTGAAATATGAAAAAAATGTAGTTTTCAAAAAGACGAGAATTCAATTCACTACTTAATTCAAACCACAGCTGCATTTTGATAGTTAAGTCGTTTTTCATTTTTTCCATGGAATTGTCAGTTCGTTTTCGACTTATGATTTTGATTATAACTTTGGTTTCTTTCGCCTCTCTTTCATTGTAGTTTGGCTTTCAATTCAAAATAATAATAATTACACATTGGGTCGATACTTCTGCAGGCGGACTGGTAGTCTCCATCATTAATCCAGTAGTCACTGCACTGATAAGATTTATAACACTTATAAAAATTCTTAAAACCCTTAGTTCTAACTCACTCTAGCAAAGTTGACCTTATAGATGGTTATTATGTTAAGGATCCTTTTCAGCCATATAATTCTTCAAGTATTTATTAATATATCCCTGGCCTTGCTTTGGAGGTAAACCCAGAAAAGCGCTTTGGACGCACAAAATTTAAAGGGTGCTATTTTCTTTTTAAGGTAACCACTGTGTGTGTTTATCACCAGCCAAGTATAATAGTCAGCACTTATATGTTAACATAAAATATCATTGATATGGTAATAATTATAAATTAACTTTTGAATTTTTCGAAACACTAAGGATTTTTCTACTTGGACCGGTTAAAAGGTCAACTTGTTGTCCCATCTAGAGCAATACACTAAGGTCATCACATGTGATAAGTCATGTGTAAGTCCCGGAGGGTACAATGTTTGTATCATCAGCTCATAAAGTCAGTGAATCGGTACTGACAAGATTTAAAACACACTTTCTTAAAACACTCCGTTGATAAATTTAGTAATTATTCAGAAACTAAGGCTTTAACTCCCTCGGGAAAAGTTGCTCTTAACTGAAGGTCATTTTTTGTCATACAGCTCCGAACGTATTTGCGTATTCATACATTCTTGGCTTTCATATTTTGGGATTTGAGCATTCCTGATGAAATTAAGCCAAGAAACGCATTTCGGACGTACCAAATACTGTGGTATAAAGTATTATCGTATCAGGGGTTCAAATTAGCGGTGGTCTGAGGTCCGCGACCTTCCATTTTTGCAGTCGGACTCTCGTTTTGGTTACAAGCTACGCCCGACGGACCTTCGGTTTGAAAGAAAATAAAAATTAACTTTGCCGACCTTTTTAAACAAACATTGAATTTCCAAACAATCTCAAAATTTATTTTCATCATTATTATTCATGACAGCGATGTTCATTTTGTTCAACCGCTAGCTTTATACCGAAAATTGCCAACTAGTAATGTGTAAATCCGAGTAAAATCGTATCTGACTGACAAAACAACATTGAAAAACATTGGATGCTATAAACCGGAAATGAAGAAAATAACAAAAAACGGATCCGATTCCAGAGCGGATAAGGATAATTCCGGGATTGCCGATCAAATACAATGAAAAAATAATAATTCCAGGCAGTTGACAAAATACATCTATGATGATAAAATATAAACACTAGAATTGAAAACCAAAAGATATATTGAAAAGAAAGAAAAAGTAGGAAATATTTTTTTACAGAAACTCAAAATTACTTTTAGTTC